TCTTAACGCAGGAGAAAACAGCAATTCTTTGAAAACTTTTGTCTAAATATTTACAAAGGCAGCTAGAAAATCTTTCTATATATAATTCGATGCGTCTTCATCTGCTCTTTCCAACGATGAGAACCATAGATCGCTATCTCGTTCCTATCAAAAGTTATTCAAAAAATGCCCACGGCCATTTAATTCTGAAATGGACAATAGATCTTTCAGCCGAAATTTGACGCCTGTAATCTCTCTATCTTAAACGAAAGGAAGCTGTAACTTTCAATATAGATACTATTCAATGAGATGATCATTTTATTGATCAGGACATTTTTATCTGGCGTTTTCTTCATATCAAAAAGCTCCCACAAAAATCAGCTTTTCGGGTTTTTGAAGGCTAAAGTTCTTCAATAAGGTAAAGATTTAATGCATGAATTTTTGGGCATTAGAATTACTTTTAGAAGTAATTCTCTGGGATAAGATTTTTGAAGGTTAAAAACTAAAACTGACGGCTAAGACAAGCGATCTGGGGCAGGATTTCCACTTCCTCCGAAAATCTTGGGTCTGTTTTCCAAAAATGTACAGCTTTATGGATATATAAAATCTATAACATTCATACTGTGAAAGACTCATTTATCAATGATCCAATGTTCAAGAATGATGAAATTTAATGTAAACGACGTTAGCAATGTGATCTATTGAACGGTTATAACCCGTTGACGGTTTCTTAAACCATTCTTTCTAAAATCTAAAGAACCGGATTTTATTTGATAAAGCATGTAGAATCTAAGTAGTAGTTTCTGCTCTGATTCAACTAGGAACTACTTCAGGCTTTCGTATTTGTGTCTGAAGAAGAATTGTACATGCTCTTTTTAGTAACACCGAGAAAAAGGCATCAAACAAGTCGTGAGCAATTGATCGCTAGGAGTACTTCCGAAGTCTCGTATAACCTGAATGGAGAACATATTATTTTGCGGTTTGAAACTAACAGTCGAAGATAAAACCAATTCGATCTTGCCGTTTGATAGAGCCTGTCAAGTGTTACGTAAACACAAATGAAGATACAAAGAACGCTGCATAGCTCAATACGGAGATGCATTATTTCTCGGGCTTCTAAGGACCCATGAGAAATAGTCAGTAGTTTTCAACACGTAGTCGAATGGTTTGAAATATCATCAATCCAAGTGCAACATTTGATGGAGCAGGGAGATTTGCACAAAGTTTTAGAAGCGTAAAGATTCTGAACTTTACATGAAAGCAGAATCCCTATAAAAAGAGTTTCGTGCCAGAAAAATAGTTTCAAATCCGTCATCAAACGATTCTTTTTCTTTGTCTCCAACCTTGTTTTAGAACTTCTGCTATCGGGTAAAAGACGGAACGTTTTGGAAATCTGAAAATTTCTTCAAACCTCCTTTATTTTGTTCAGAGCAACAGTTGATTGCATTTTATATTAACTTCACCAATGTTGAAACTTTATATGTGAGCGAGTTATCGCTAGGTTTTCATATTGACGAAGACTTAGATCGAAATTTTATCTATGATTTTACTCGAATATTAACTTATTCGAAGAAAAGTTCATTAAAATAAGAATCTTTGTTCAAATTTCAACCAGAGCACGAATGTTTTAGCGATTATTTTAAGGTATATCCTCTAGGCGCGCTTACAATATGAATGTAAATGAAGCATATCAATTAAAAGTGTTCTATTGTTAGTGATATTACTAAAGAATAGAAAAAATCTTCTGAGCAGTGATAGAATAAAACGGCTACAGAAAGATACTGCAATTGTAGAAGACTTACGTTTGCTTCTTGTATTGATGCAAAAATTTTAGCACGGAGAATTATAATACGTTGATAATGTATTGATGTTGCTTAATAAAGAAAATAAAAACATTACTTTGTTTATGTGCATATTAAGAAAACATTTGACTTGCGCGCATTGGACTGTATACACGGGAGAAAGCATAGTCATATATTATTGCGACACACAAGATTCTTTTTACCTCATACAAATATTTTCATTCTTTTACTTGTTCTATCATTGATAAATCAAGTAGCTTAATTCAAGAAGAGAAAAAGTTAACCGATGGTTGGAAAAAATGTGCATTATACCATGACGCTATTTGTTTTTCTTCCTATCGTTCCACAGAGTAGGTAAAATATGAAGCCTTCACAAGCAATAATGGTGACCGATCACTTCGTCGCAATCACTTCGTCGCAGAGCAATTTCTTTCGTTCTGTTCGTCGCAGAATAATTTCTTTCGTTCTCCTGGTCACTATTTATTCTTGACATATCACTTAATTCATTTTTCTTTTTTTTCAAAGATATGAAACTGATCAATCAATTTTTTTTATTTTGTGCATTATAAATGAGAAAAGCATGAAAAATTTGAGTATAAAAAAAGATAAATAAACAGAGGAAAGAGCAGGTTGTGGGATCTAAAATGTATCGAAATCCTTTGAAATGTCTTGAAATATTTTCAAAATTATTTTGAATATGATTACACGATCAGAAATTCTTTAAATATTATACTTCTTACCAAGTTTAGAAAAAAGTTGATCTGCAATGACATTTTATATTTTTGTAAATAATTCATCATTGGCGCAGCCAGAGATAGGAGTATTAGCAAATTATGAAAAAATTCAAAATTAACTACGAACGGATTGTTTTAAAATGACACTAAGCGTTAAGTATCTGAAAATGTTGCGGCACATGCATGCATACATAAAAATCCCAGAGGTGGTATTTTGATAGATAGTGTATTGCTGCAAACTGCTTAAACTGTGAAGAAAGTTCAATTGACTATGTTTTTCATTAAATCGACGATCACGAAGATGACTATTCAATGGTTTATTTTCTTGAAAATGCTTGTTATTCTACTAATATTTGTTACTATTTTTACATGCGTTTATCAATAGTTTTGCATACCGTGTATTTAAATATTTGAAATTTGACGAATGTATTTGCGAAACAGTACAAAAAAGGGCAACAAGCTTGCCTCTTGGTTGAGGATAATATGTTTCTCTTCAACAAACATCAGCTAACACAACAGTACGTTTTAAGAAATCGTAGTCCCATTAATTTTTCATTTTTCATTAGATTATTTTATTTGGATTAGTTATAAAAAAAGAAGAATGAATTGAGTGATATGTTAAGAGTAGATAGTGACGAGGAGAACGAAAGAAATTATTCTGCGACGAACAGAACGAAAGAAATTGCTCTGCGACGAAGTGATTGCGACGAAATGTCGTGCGACGAAGTGATCGTGCGACGAAGTGTCGTGCGACGAATTGTACTAGCGTCCAAAATGAAAGAAAAAAATTGTGAAGACAAAACGATGTGCAACGGTTCCAGATATTTTTAGAGATTTAGAGATTTGTTTTCGTCAAGTAAAAATATTCAGCAATGAGATATTATATAATAATAGTGCCTAATTTTTCATGAGGATGGTTTTATAAAAGTCTACCGCAACACTGTACGACTTTTTCGAATTGGTAACATATGATCGAAAAGTAATTTGACACAATGTTCATTCACTTTTCAGCTTGTTAAAACAACATGCAGAAATCTGAAAACATTACGGTTAAAATTAAAACTTTTTACTCTTTCTAAATACGTTGATTGACAATTTTTCTAGAGTTTTGTGGTTTAGCGGGTATGAACGAATCTCTTAGAGGTGCGAAAATCAAACTTGAACGAAGAAAATTTACGTGTTTTGTAAAAAAAAAACATACATAATGTTAACAAGTTTTTTTGTGTAGAATTAAAGGTGACATTGTTCTCTACAAAACAATATAAAAATTAAGAGTTTTAGAAAAACCATTCCGATAAAGCTGAGCTCGCTTTACAGGTAGGGGTCGAGAAAATTGCTTGAATTGGTACGGTGTTTCTTACCAAAATACTGACTATTGACCATAGGCTTACAAAAAACTAATTATCAGTATACCATAGTAATAAAGAAATACTTGCCCTTTTATTCACTATATTTGAATAATTTTCTCTTGTACTTGGAGCAAATTTTAGCGCATTGAATTTCGTTCAAACTTAATTTCTAAGCCTCTAAAAGGCTGACTTATCATTTCTACACAAGAAAATCTAGAGAAATTTTCATCCCGTATTTGGTAAGAACATCAAATTCTGATTTTAATTCAATATTTTCAAACTTCCGCAGATTCTTTAGGAGTCTAAAAATATGTCCGAAGATTTTATCGAATTGCTTTTCGATCACCGGTTATTTTTATCATTCTAATCTTTCTTTTCAATGTAACATATGTTTTAGTTTGTAGGCAAAGAATATGCACTCATATATTTATTTTTGTTCTTTTCTTCGTCATCATCATGACACATATTGACAGATAAAAACGCATGTTAAAATATATTAAGCATCAAGGTGCAATGTTTCAATTCATACAGTTTACATGAAACTATTTTTATTAATATTTTTGTATTGTTTTGTCTATATTAAAGCTAATTATAATGGCTTTAATATTTTTTCGTTTAATTCTACAGCTCTTTCAATGTTGGATACAGTAAATTCATTGAAAATAATTTCATTACGAGGAGCTAATTGGGTTGGTGTGAATTTTTTTCTTTGACAAGATAAAAATATCTCCAATGAAGTATATTTTGATGAAAGAACTCCAAGTAAAGACGTATAGTCTAGTTTTATAAAAGAAGCACATAAATATAATTTACATGTACTTATTAAACCACTTGTAGTTTGTGGTGGTGATTGTCTATTTATTAATATTTTACCTGAAAATATTACAATATGGTTTTGAAGTTATGAAAAAATCATTTCGAATTTATCAATTCTAGCGAAAGAACTTCAAATTGATGCATTATCTATTGGATTAGAATTAATAAAAATTTCCAATCAAGATTATACTCTATATTGGAAAAAATTAATTCGAACTATTCGATCAGAAGGTTATTTAGAATTATTAACTTATTGTTCAATATTTTATCCATTAGAAACACAACAAATTAGATTTTGAGATGAACTTGATTTTATTGCTATGGATTTTTATCTACCACTTATTAATATAACAAAAGATAATAATATACCTTCACAACAAGATATGATTAGACGATTTTCTGATTACTTTCAATATTTTAAATTGTGGCTAAGTAATCAATCCATAAATGTTACATCGAAACCACTTGTTTTTAACAGAAGTTGGATATCCAAGTTCATTAGCTGGACTTGCTATGCCATCAGGAAATCCAGCTGTTCAATGTATTGGTAATTATAGTGCTAATTTTACGTTACAAGATATGGGTTTTAAAGCACTTTTTCAAGTTCTTGATGATAATAGAGGAATATCTAATGGAACTATTATATTTTGGTGGGATAATCCATCTTCTATGGATTATTATAAAGAAAAAGATTCAAATAATTGGGAATGTTCATGGACAGTTCGTGGTAAACCAGCTGAATGTACAATAGCAGAAGCATTTCATGGAATATGTTCCACGAATCGAAGTAATTCATTGAAGATCAACCAAGTGGTTTTACTAACTCTAAAACTATTCATTTGTTTTATATTATGTTTTGAAATGTAAATAATTTATTCAAAGGTTTGTGTCACAACTAATGTCCTGAGCTAGAATTAAAGTTGAATTAGTGTAAGCTCAATAATTCGACTACGGCGACAAAATTTTGTCTGATTTTATATGAAATAAAATTATTGTAATACACATCATCTTTGCAAAACGTTCATTTTTTTAACATTGAGATGTGAGAAGACAATTACTTGAATCATGTCTTGAACTATATGGTCAAAAGTATATATAAATAATTACATCTTTTTAATTATGTTGCTAACATTGATAATAGTTTTAAATAAAAATTTTGAGCTAAAAGAAGTTGCCCTTGAACAAAATTCTATATTGTAAGGTATTTCTGAAGGGCAAGACATTTTTCTTCTATAAATATATGTGAAATGGATAATACTTACTTCTTAAAAAATATATTCTATTGTTTGATTTACTGACATAACATGAATGCAGTTAACTTTTGTAGAATAAGTTCACGAAAAACGCACTCTAAGTGCAAATATAATGTGTACTGATAGATCGCGTGCATACAACGGTAATTCGTTTCGTTCGTCTATAAACGTAATATTATTTATGTTGCGTATGTGTACTTTTTGATAATAGGTATATAAAAATAAGTTATCAAAATATATATTCTCTGTGTTATTGATATTGTCAAAATGCATAAAACGAAACTATTGATTATATTCTCATTATTGTTGTTACATCTTTCTAGTATTTAATCGAAATTTCATGGTTTAAATTTTGTTTTATATAATTCATCGTCTTTAATAGTATCAGATACATTAAATTCTTTAAAAACGATAGCATCTATTGGAAGTAATTGGATTGCTATTAATTTTGTAATTTCACAAAGTAATAAAACATCAAATGAATTATATTTAGGAGATAAAACTCTAACTGTTGATATGTGAACTACATTTGTAAAAGAAGCACATAAATATAATTTAAATGTATTTCTTAAACAATATAGTAGTTTGTAATGATAATTGTATATTTTTCAATGTAACACCGTCAAATGTTACAAATTGATTTTCTAGTTATGGATATGCCATTTATATATTTATCAATGATGGCAAAAGAACTTCGAATTGAAGCATTATTAATTGGATTAGAATTATTGAAACTATCTAAATCAGAATATACATCATATTGGAGAACTTTAATTGAGAACATTCGTAGAGAAGGCTATTCAGGCTTATTAACTTATTCTTCAGTATTTGATCCACTTGAAACTCAACAAATTGGTGTTTGGAATGAACTTGATTTTATTGGAAGAAATTTTTCTCTTCCTCTTCTAAATTCAATGAACGATAGTATGATTCCTTTTCCGAAAGGTATGGTAAAAACATTTTCTGACTATTTTCAATATTTTAAATTATGGTTGAGTAATTAATCATCAAATGTTACTTCAAAATCAGATATTTTCACTGAAATAGAATATCCAAGCTCCTTACTAGGTCTTGCTATTCCATTAGGAGATTCACCGCCTCAATGTATCGAGAATTACAGTGCTAATTTGACACTCCAAAACGTGGCTTTTGAAGCACTTTTTCAAGCTATGAATCAAGTTAATGAAACATTTAAGGGAATCATTGTATTTCGATGGGATAATCCATCGTCTGGTGATTCATATAACGAAAGAGATTCAAATAATTGGGCATGTTCTTGAACAGTTCGTGGAAAGCCTGTTCAATATACTATAGCAAAATATTTCGGTAGAGAATGTTCATCTTATCAAAGTATTGCGTCTACAAAAATTAATATAATTGCAATAAGTTTTATATTATTTATTCGTCATAAATTATTGACTTGGCTATAAAATTTGTTTAAACCCGAATGAAGGATTATAATCTATTAAGAAAAAGCTACATATAAATATTTTAAGTCAAGTCAATGTTTATTTTGTTTTATATTGTAAATTGCTGTCGTCGATAAACACAAGTAATTTATTTAAACAGCTTTCAAAAATAATTTATGAGTACCTATATATATAAATTTTTGTCATGAATTGCTTTACTAAATAAAAAAAAAGTCTTATAATTTGAGTAAAACTATTGATAAGTGACTGCTATTTTACTGATAGAGATTACAAATGTTTGTGACGTTCTTGTATAATGAAGCTATTGAATTTATAATGTTGTTAGCACTGCTGGATCTATTGCTTGGCGATATTAAACAAACTCGAAATAGCATACTGCAGATTTAGATAACATAAGCCCTGTTGCTTACGATAATGATGTCGGCAATATACATCAATAAAAATAATTTAATACAAGTCATAAGAATGAATAGAACAAAAAGAAAACTATAAAATTGCTGAAATGTTTGGTTGAATTGAGAATAAGAAGATCATGTATAAACGATTGCACCTAAAACAATCATTGTTACTAGTATGCTTAATGTATTTTGTTTAAGTTATTATTGCTGGTGTGCTGATTCTTCATGTTTACTCCTCGTCTCATGCACTAATTTATTTCTTTTTTTGTGTTCTCACAAAACTTTTTCTGTGGTTTGATAACAGTTTATGACCTTCGGCAGTTGCATCACCCTTTGGACGAAGAGATAATGAGTCATTAAATAAGATGCTGTATACAACGTGTGTTGCTGGTGATTAATGCGTTCGTTTCGTATTATGCTTTGTAATTATGACGAGGTCGAGCACTAGTATAAAACAGTTTTCGACTGATGTTGTATTTGTTCCACTATTTTCAACTCTTTAATGATGACGAAGCAGAATTTGACCACTGTGTTCTTTGGTTAAAGTTTATATAGGCAACGGTGAAAGTTTGATTGCATGCTGAATTAATGTTTTTTTGCTCTCTAGGTATGAATCATATTCTTGAGAGATAAGAATCGTTGGATGAGGTTCACTTGATTAAAAAACAATTAAACATTAAACAAAAACCAGTGAATTCGAGTTATATCGGCTTAGTTTCAGCTTCTATTTCATTTAGCGCATACATTAATGTGAAAAAGTGACTAATACAATATTCCACCAAATGAAAAATATTTCATTATTTTTAACTATTCATTTCAATAGGAAATCTCTTGATTTAAGCTTATATTTCTTCTGCATTTGCATACCTTTATATTTTTTCCTTTGATATAAACGATTATACGTTCATTGACGTTTTGTTATCGTACTTCTTTTTTTATCAACAGCAAATACACTTTGAATAATAAAAAGAACAACAAGGTTAGATATCTTCAATGGCCAACAAAAAGTAAATAGCAGACATCACAACTGTATTTGTGGAACTTATTTTTAGATTTAAATATCACACATGTTTAATTATTATTAAATTAATTTTATATGTATGCTCTTGTTTTTCTAGATTGAAATTGGCAATGGGTTCGAGTAATTCTTGTCCAGTATCTCGTTTTAATATGACAGCACAAGACATTGTAAATGAATGCGGTGAAAATAGTAATGCTAAAGATTTACATATTCTTGTTACAGGTGCAACGTCTGGTATTGGTATTGAAACTGGTCGTACATTAGCACTTGCTGGAGCAAAAGTTTATCTAATGGGTAGAAGTGAAACAAAACTAAAAGAAGTTCTTGAAAATATAAATAAAGAACTACAAGAAAAATCATCAAATGGTTCTGTACAAGGTGTTATTTGTGATTTGAATAGTTTAGCTAGTATTAAACAATTTGCAGAAAAGTTTACAAAAGAAAACACACCTTTGAATGTTTTGGTACTCAATGCTGGTATCTGTAATTATAATTTTGCTCAAACTGTTGATGGTCTTGAACAAGTAATGGGTGTTAATCATATTGGTCATGCATATTTAACGCAATTATTAATGCCTACTTTGATAGCTAATGCACCATCAAGAGTTGTTATAGTATCATCAGAATTACATGCAGGCCCACCATTAAATTATCAAGCTTTAGATCATATGAATAGTACAGAAAATAATGCAAAAAAAGGTTGGGGCACAATAAGAAGTTATCAACAAAGTAAATTAGCTAATATGCTTTTTGCTCGTGCACTTGCATCACGATATAATGATAAAAAAATTACAGCTTATTCACTTCATCCAGGTGTTATTGATACAAATTTAACTTCTAGTATACCATTGGCGTCGTTTTTTAAAATATTCTATAAGAAAAAAACGGTAGAACAAGGTGCAGCTACTACGGTTTATTGTGCATTGAAGCCTGGTTTAGAAAATGAAAGTGGACGATATTTTAATGATTCTACCGTTACAAATTTAGCGGATAAATGGACAGATAATGATTTAAATATATTTTGGGAGTGGACAGAAAAGGTTATTCGAGAACGAACAGCTAATTTATCATGAGCATTAATTTATTGTCAAAATTTTTATCCATAAAAATTTTTAGTTTTTAATTTTTTTGTTAAAAAATCAGTGGCGTTCAAGCCACTTTTAGGTCCAAAATATTTTCAAGAAATAACTATATCAGGGTAACAAGATCGATATGAGCTATATATCTAGCGTAGTCATTTTCCTTGAATTGATTTAGAGATTCCTGATTCCCTCTTCAGGGGATTTCGAAAAAATTTTGTTCAGAATTAATTTTTCCAAATTAGCTAGAACAAAACCATTTTTTGCTGTTAGAATTCCGATTGCGCTATATACTGTTGAATGTAAGTACGATTGCGTTAATGAGAGGTAATTTTTCATTTTCTATTCGACTGGCCTACTGAACTAAATCAGTAAAAGCTGACAGTAGGTTTGAAAATTGCAATAGACGAGAAAAAATACCCTACTTTGCTCATTGTTCACTGATGTGTTGTCCAAGAAACTTTTCACCCTACTGTACTATGTTCATCGTTCATCCTCATGAACTTTTCTTTGCTTTTTCATAAAACGTTTTCAAATACGTTGAAGCAGATTCATAGAAGAGTACGCAACGTAAATACTATCAACGAAAATCTTTTTAAACAAAAGCTACTTTGCCAATCATTTAATCAATATTATTCGAACAGGTATTTATATGAAACTAATAATGAACCTCATGATGATATTCTTGAGAGTTTCTTTGTTCACTTACTATGATTTGATCGATATTTAGTTAAACTGGTAATATAAATCATGAACTGTGAGACAGTTCGACAATCTTGATGTAACTGAAGTATCACAAACCCATACTGCATGTATCATGTACAAATATGCTTAGAATGTTTCGATGAATTGTCAACAATATATCGAATTCATTATGGAAATGAGTTGTAATAAAAGTCAAATCCTACGATAATCATATTATTTATTACGAGGTTTTCTATCAAATCTATTCTAGCATTTATTATTGTAATTTTCATTTAAAGATATGCATTTATATTTTAGTCAGGATCATGTCCATCCGAATATGAACATCTGCTCTGAAGCTATCAACATCGGCAAGTTTCGCGATTTTTTGGAAGGATGCCAAGATTTTTCATTTAGGAGAATGCACAAAGTTTTCAGATTCGGTAGCAAAGAACAAAAAGGTTTCTTGATTGGAGAGTGTTAACCATCCAGCAACCCCGCGGTCGGATTGTTAGAGTCCGTCAGGTCCAAAAGTTTTGGACCTGAATCCAACCGAACCATACTTTGATAATCTCAATAAAATTTTCTAATCTGCATTAGATAGACTTCTCGAAAATATGAGATGCTCTTTCCTGGTGTTTAGTAGTCGGTGACTAGTGTACTCTAGACATTTCTCAAACTACTAGAGCCCATTGAATCCTAAATTTTCGGATTCGAACCCCGCCTGGTTCTACGGGTCATCCCACTGTAGTTGTATATGTATGTGTTTATGGATTAATTATGTTAAAGATTAAGGCTTCTCTCCTCCTTAAAAATCGATCTTGCGCCAGGAACATTAAAACTAAATGAAATCTTCAGAATATGTTGAGGCTAGTGTGGGGAGACTATAGTAATATTTTCAACCCTAGCTCATGGCGTTTTCGGGAGATATCCAGCAAACAAGGGTAAAAAATATCTGATTTAGTAAATCACATTTCTCTGTTTAGACTCAGTATATATACTTAATTTTTTGTTTGTTTGAAAGAACATATTAGGATGGAGTGTAGTACAGAGCCTTTTTTGAATTCTTACTTTTTATGCGGAGAAAAAGTATGCCAAGTTCAATGACTCAAAAAACTCTCGAAAAATGGGCGTCTATCTATATAAGTGCTTGGATGTACAATAAAAACGAAGATTAATTTAAAAAAGGACTCTGTATTGCACTGCGTCTTGACATGCTCTTTCAAACAAAAAAACAACGTTATTGACTTCGATAAAGTTCCTTTGAGAATTCTGGCCAAATGCGCAATCAAAAACCTATACAGTGAGAAAAAACGAAAAAGATTCTAGGTTTTTTCCAACAACAGCTTATTTTTCGAATAAGGGATAACCGAAGTCTTTAAAAATTTTTGAAAAAACCGAGATGCTGAATAAAAATTTTTGTTGTTTATGAGAGATCAGTTCATGAATTGTCTTCCATTGTATTTATCTTAATTTCGATCATTCTGACGAAAAGTGACTTTTTTTGAGAGAAGGGAAGCTTAAAATCGATTTTCTGTTGTCATATTTTGATTGCTAGTTATTATTTTTTGCTTTGTAATGATAAGAACCTAAGGTCACAGGTAATGTCTTTAGAGTTGATGATGACCGCAATTAATAAAGAAAACGTCGAAGATTCCAAATTAGTTG